TGAGACAGGGTCTTCTTGTAGCCCCAGCTGTCCTGGAACTCACTATGTAGACCAGGCTGGCCTCAAACTCACAAAGATCCGCCTGCCTCTGCCTCCCAAGTGCTAGGATTAAAGGCGTGTGCCACCACGTTTGGCACATCATCCAAGATTTTTTATGTTGAGTATTAACTCTCTATGCTTGATCTCAGAGAGATCCACCTGCTTCTGCTGGGACTAAAGGCATGAGCTACCACGCCCAGCTTGTGTCTAGTATTTCATATTGTTGAGGCCATGCCACTTTGTTAGGACAGTTCTATACTTACTTGGAAAATTATCAACATGTAAAATAATTTTCATTTTCAATATTTATATTTATTCTTTGTTATAATGTTTTCTTTGAACATTTATTTTATACCATAAACACAATCAATTTTGCTGTGCAAGCAAACTTTGAAGAGAGTACAATAAATAGTTCTGCTTCTGTTGTCAGCTTCTTCCATCGTGGTTGTCATTCTTTTTGTCAGTTCATAGACTTCTGATTTTCTTACAATGAAAAAGTTATCCTTTTATACTTTAAAATTTCCCCCAGGTTTGTTTTTTAATTGTTTGGATCCAGGTGTGGCACACACCTTTAGTCCCAGGACTCAGGAGGCAAAGGCAGGTGGATCTTTGTGAGATCAAAGCCAGCCTGGTGTACATAGACAATTCCAAGCCAGCTGGAGCTACAGGAAGACCCTATCTCAAAATAAGCAAACAAAAATGTTTCTAAATGTTTGTTAAATGTAGTTTTCATGTCATACTAATTTCCATAAGTAAATTTGGGTTCAGCTTGAAGATAAATGATGAACACTGATATGACACTTTACAGAGTTTCTGTGGCTTCAGGAATTTGCTTTACTAATTTCAGTGACAGCATTTATAATTACAACAGTGCTTCTGATGCTCTCCATAGTGACAAAGCCAGATTTGCTTTTTCCTGAATTTCTGGTACTTCTATCAAATGGAAAGATTACACACTTAGATGTTATAGCAATGTCAAATTCGTTATAATTTTGAAATTCTCTTCTTTATTGCTTTACTTATCGCAAACCAGTAAGAGTTTATGGATCAGCACTGGTCTGATGGCTGCACTTAGAGTAGCACTGATCTCTAGTGACAGACACCTGTTTGGTATATTAACAAATGAATGCTTGAGTTTGCCTTGCCATTAATAAAGTCATGAAAAAAAATTTTTTTTTGGCCAGGCATGGTAGTACACACTTTAAGGCAGATCTTTGTGAGTTTGAGACCAGCCTGGTCTATGTAGTAAGTTCCAGGCTAGCCAAGGCTACACAGAACATATCTCAGAAAAAAAAATGTAATTTTTTTCTATCAGGCAAAAATTTTGGAATAGATTTTGCTGAAATAGTTGAAAATGAATAAAATACATAGTGTACTAAGCATAGTCTTATAATATCTGAATCCTTATGAGCTTAAATTTTCCAATAGGTTTAGAAATTTACATTGTTTTAATTCATGATATATGTGAATCAGCTTGCTCGATAAAATGTTGTCTTCTGGGGCTGGAGAGATGGCTTAGTAGTTAAGAACACTGGTTGTTCTTGCAGAAGACCTGGGTTCAAATCCCAGTACCCACATGGCAGCTAACATCTGTCCAAAACTCCAGTTCCAGGGGATTCGACAGCCTCTTCTGACCTCCACAGGCATTTTTTTGCAGAGGACCCAGGTTCCTAGCACCTACAGAGCAACTAACAACTATCCATAACTCCAGTACCAGGGGAATCTGGCACCTTCTTCTGACTTCTGTAAGCATTTCACGACACCACTGCGCTTACACGCATGCAGGCAATACATGCATACACATAAAATAAAAATAATAAAAAAAAAATTTTAAACGTTGTCTTCTTCCCTAGGTTCTCATCTCAAGTTGTTCTCGGTGTAGAACTTGTGACTGTCTTGTCCATGATGAGGAAATCATGGCTGGCTGGACAGCAGATGATTCAAATCTCAATACTACATGCCCATTTTGTGGCAATCTTTTCTTACCCTTCCTGAATGTTGAAATAAGAGACTTAAGACGGCCTGGGAGGTAATAGCACATGCCCTTCCCTGTTAACGTTCAAGGATCCTGTTCCCTAGAATACCTCTTCTCAAAACTTCTTTGATTCACATTCCAGATATTTCTTGAAGTCCAGCTCATCTACAGAAACTATGCACTTTGCATCTTCCTTTTCAAATCAGACAAGGCAGTCTTGCATTTCAACATCAACCTCTGGTCTTGACACATCTCTCTCTGTTCAAGGGAGTTTTGATCTAAATAAGTAAGTACAGTTGTGGAGAACTTTTTTAACAACATATATTGCACATGCTGTAGAGATCTAACAGAAAGAAAAACAGTTGACCATTTAAGTTTCTGTGAAAAATGTGCATTCCTGTAAAGCCATCACTCAAGGTAGAGGAAGAAGGATGTTTAAGGCCAGCCTGGTCCACATAACCAGACTCACGTCATATAGATAGACAGATTTATTTATTTCCATGAAAAATAAACTCATTATCTAAATTCTTATTCCTAATTAAAGCAATATTAAAATGCTCTAAGAGCATAACTGTTTAAATCTAAATACATGTTTTATGACCCTCCAAAGTTAAGATGTGTGTGTGTGTATGTATGTGTGTGTGTGTGTGTGTATGATAATGTTTACCTGTATTTTGTTTTTGTATTGTTGTTTTGTTTTTTGAGACAGGGTCTCACATATCTTTTATTGGCCTTGAACTAGCTATATAGTTGAGGATGACCTTGAGCTCCTAATCTTCCTACCTCTACCTTCTAAATTTTGGGATTCAGGCTGTATGCCACTGTGCCTAGCTGTTTTACCAGTACTCAGTACTTTAAAGAAGAGAAAGGGGTCCTCCTTCCAGAGGACCAGGGTTTGATTCCCAGCACCCATGTAGTGACAGTCTGCAACTCCATTTCCAGGAGATCTGATGCCCTCTTCTGGCCTCCATGTGGTGCACCTATATACATGCAGGCAAAACAAATAAATAAATTAGAGAAAAGATACCTGTACAACACTTGAAGTTTTTCTCCATCTCTTCAGGGTTTAATACTTCTACTTTAGAAAACTTAATTTCCTGTGTAAGAATATCTAATAATATAAGAGAATTTTTGGAGCTAATACAGGAACTATAAAATTAAACAAAACCATATGTAGCAATCAAGTACAAGTATGCTATGTTTAAATCAGCACCTGACTTTATTTTGAAAAAGTGCCAAATTAGCCATAGGTAGCCAAACAGATAAAGCCATGTTGCCAGCTGCATGTGCAGAAAAAGAATATTCTTACATAGTATTCACAAGGTTAATGTGGCCTGTTTGATCATAAATACTTAGACCATAAGACCAAAACTCTGTGTGCACATCTTCTTCCATTATAGATCTATTGTGTTCCATTGTCTCACTTGTGACTCCTAAAAGAACATAAATCCATTTTACCTTCTGTATATAGTCAAGGGGTAGTTATATTGTGAGATATAAAAACTGCTCATTAAACATTTTGAATAAATTAATGAATCCTAAGTATTTAAAGTTCACTGGATATAAAAGAAGTTTGGGGGCTGGAGAGATGATTCAGTGGTTAAAAGCAATGGCTGCTCTTCTAGAGGACCCAGGTTTGATTCCCAACACCCACACAGTGGCTAACAACCGTTTCTAATTCCAGTTCCATAGGATCTGACACCCTTTTCTGGCCTCTGAGGGCTTTGCACAACACAGGTGCACTTACATACATGCAGGTAAAACACTCATACATATAAAATAAAAATAATTTTTTTAAATTGCTGGGTGTAGTGGCACACGCCTTTAATCCCAGCACTTGTGAGGCAGAGGCAGGCAGATCTTTGTTGAGTTCGAGGCCAGCCTGGTCTATATAGTGAGTTCCAGGCCAACTGGGGCTGCAGGGAGACCCTGTCTCAAAAAAAAAAAAAAGTTTGTCACAATTCTTATACCTTTTATTTCCTAGTGGAGGCTAGAGTAGCATACTTCCTTTTATGTATTTTGCTATGTCGAACTAATTCTAAAAAGAATAACATGGTTCTTCTAGATAAAATAAGTCTGGACACTGATAGGCATTTTTCTTTTTTTTCTTTTTTTTTTTTTTTAAATGCTCAAGCAAATCTAAACTGCAGGAAAATCCCTGTGCCCGAAGTATTCAGATTCCTGCTAATGGATCAAAAACAGTCGTGTCAAAATGCCCACTTTTCCCAATGGCCAGGAGTATCAGTACATATGGCCCCTTGGATAAGAATGATACTAGAGCACAGAAGCTCATTCCTACAGGCAGCCTGCCAGCTACTTTACAAGGAGCTACAGTATGTATTTGGGTAGTTTTCTAAATTTGTAAATTGATTATTTACATGTGATTCTGTTTTCATTGTTTTGAATGACATTATTAGCTTCAGTTATATTATTGTCACAGACTCTCATTCCATGATAGAATTATGTTACTTTTCTATTCATATGGAAATAATTCACATAAATTTTCTAAAGAATATTTTAAATTTAAAATAATTTTACATACTCATTCTTATATTTGTCATTTATGGCTTTATTTACTCAACAGGATTCTTTAGGATTTGAATGGCATCTTCCAAGTCCAGATCCTGTCACTGTTCCATATCTTAGTCCATTAGTGGTATGGAAGGAACTTGAGAGCTTATTGGAAAACGAAGGTGACCATGCAATAACAGTGGCTGACTTTGTGGACCATCATCCAATTGTTTTTTGGAACCTGGTGTGGTATTTTAGACGTCTTGACTTGCCCAGTAATCTACCTGGATTGATTCTTTCTTCTGAGCATTGTAACAAGTATTCAAAGGTATGAGAGTGAAATTAAAAGGCAGTGCTACTGTCATCATAACATTTGCATATTCCTAGTGATAAAAAGGAAGGGTTATTTTCACCCTACATATTTGTACTACCATCTAAATCATCACAGAGGATTGTCTTCAGTTGCATTTGAATTTTTATTTTGCTTCAAGATAAACTGTAAATTATTATCATAAAGGTTTGTGAGTTAACTCCCTTATACTTCTTCCAAAAATAAGAAAGACTAACCATTTTTAGAAGGGGTCTAATTCATATCACAAGTATGCACTATCATTCTCTTCATTTCCTTACTTTGAATTTTATTATGTTCATATATTTATTTAATTTTTATAGTGATGGGGATCAAACCAAGGGCTTCTTGAGTGCTAGGCAGGGACTCTACCACTGAGTTATATCCTTAGCCATTTTATATCTACATTGTTATTTTTTAAATTTTGTGCAGGTAAAAGCAAGGCATGGTGGCACACACCTTTAATCCCAGCACTTGGGAGGCAGAGGCAAGCAGATCTTTGTTAGTTCAAGGCCAGCCTGGTCTACATAGTGAGTTCCAGGACAGCTGGGGCTACTAGGAGACCTTTTCTCAAAAAGACAAAAATCAAAACCTGACTAAAATCTGTGCGCGTATATGCATATGAGAGAGTACAGATGCATGCTATGGTCAGAGGACAACCTCAGGATTCAGCCTCCACTTCCACTTTGTTTTGAAATGGTCTGTTTGTTGTTTTTCTGCTTTGTGTGCCAGGCTAACTGGCCCACAAGCTTCTGGGGATTCCCTTGTCTCTACCTCCCTTCTCCCCATAGGGGTGGCGACTGTAGATGTGCACACTACTGTGTCCAGCTTATACATGGTTTTAGGGATTCAAACTCAGTTCCTCACACTTGTGCACAAAGTATTTTACCCTCTGAGCCATCTCCCCAGCCCTGATAAGTTGTTTTATAAAAGTGTTTTTACCTTTTCATATGCTGTACCACTAAAATGTAGTCTCTAAGCTCAGCAATGTTTGTCTTCTCTCTTCTTGTACTTAATGTCTATGATTGTGCATGTGCTTTTGTTTTTTTCATACATCATAGATGAGTGACAGAGATAATTCAGACATAATTGCCTTGGCTGAGCAAGAATCTTGAAAAAATAATGGAATTCCTTGCACTGGGGATGTAACTTAATGTTAGAGTGCTTGCCTAGCATGTACAAGGCCCTTGGTTTGAACCCAGCACTGAGGGTTGAGGGAAGAGGCCTGTGAATTTATTTTTCTGTGGACTTGGAGTCATAAGCAGGGACAAGATCAGCCCTTCATGGTATCCTTTCTCAGTCACCAAAGGGCTTTGTCAAATCCACCACTACTTTAGAGACCATTAGTTTCCAAACTCAGTTTATCTTCCTTAAGTAGGTATCAAATGTGTACAAACCAGTCATTTTCTGTTCTTTTTTCCCTCTCTTGTACACTTATATCTAAAAAAAGAAATTGTGAGGCTTCTATAAAATATTTACCAAAAAATTGATATAAGAATCAGTAATGAATTATTTTTATTTTACAACACAGATTCCTCGCCACTGTATGTCTGAAGATAGTAAATATGTTTTAATACAGATGTTATGGGACAACATGAAATTGCATCAGGATCCAGGGCAGCCTTTGTACATCCTCTGGAATGCCCACAGTAAGTGCTGTCACAGGGTGCTGATTTCAGAGTAGTCTCTTCTTGCTTTAAATAGCCTAAATGTGTGGAACTTTTACTTCATTGTACTACTTTTGTCTTCCAGGTCAAAATCGTCCTCTTTTGTTTGAGAGTAAGTGTTAACTTTGACTTTTTCAGTGCTGCCTTCTGTGGGAGTCACGTTGTTTTGCGTTTGCTTTGGAGGGCTGCTGTGTACGTGCTAGAGGGGTTGATTGTGTTTTGTACAGTCCAGCTTTTAGTACATTGCTTGTCCCGGTGTCTTCTTTTATATATATTTTGTTTTCATCCCTAGCTGCTAATGTAGAATTTCCTCTGGGGCTGTATTAAGAGGAGCTACTTTAGTTACTGTTTGAGGCAACAAAAGGCTGTAGGCTGACTTTTGTCATTACTTTTCCTATTTTGCCTTTTTTAATTTTTAGATTTCTATTCCTTTATCTATCGCCCTTAATTCATTTTTAGTGCTTTGTAACATGTTTAACATTCGTCAGTTACTGTTTTATTTCTTTCTCCTTTCTACATAGAACATTTCATTCATCATCTTTTGTTCTTTTACAGCCCAGAAGTATCCAATGGTCCATTTATTGCAAAAAAGTGATAACTCATTTAACCAGGAACTGTTGAAAAGTATGGTAAAAAGCATTAAAATGAATGATGTCTATGGACCCATGAGTCAGATTTTAGAGACACTGAATAAGTGTCCACATTTTAAAAGACAAAGGTAAGTCTTGAACAAACATGTTCCTCTAAACGATGCATCCGTTTGCTTAGTCATTTTCCCACTATTTTATATTTATTTTGCATACAGAGTTTTGTGAAGAGCATATCAGCTCTGTGGATACTAACATCTTCTCCATGTCTTCTGTCTCCAGGAGTCTATATAGAGAAATTCTGTTTCTCTCACTTGTGGCATTGGGAAGAGAAAACATTGATATAGGTAATTCAGCATGATAAATAATACTGTTACGTAGCATAGTGTTGTTTTTAAAGGGTTGTATTGCTGGTCTTAATTATTTTGTCATTATTAGATTATATCAATTTACTAGAAAAATGTTTCTTTTGAATTTTTATCTAATGTAGAAGGTACTTTAGTCATGGATATAATCATGATATTCAGTAATAAGTTCGCATCTCTTAGGCCTCATGCTCAAGTGTGTGCTTTCCATGTGTTGTTCCATTCTCCACAAATTCCTATGAGAATACGTACTATTACGATTTTTATATTAGTCAAGATACTGAGGATCTGAGGGACAAAGTAGCTTAACCTCAGATAGCACAGTGGTAACAGAGCTCTGTTTTACCTAGTTTTATGTTCCAATCCCATACTTTCAGAATTGTGTCAGATCTAAGGATATTACGTTTGCTTAGAAAGAATATAAGGAAACTAAAATGTATATTTTAGGAGCTCCCCAACTGCTCCCATTGACCATGTCCTCCTAGTTACTGTGTTTGTTTTTGCTGTCTTGACATGAAGTCTTACTATAACTACTAGGTTCAAGTGATCTTCCTGCCTTGGCTTCCCAAGTAACTGGGACCACACATTTGAGCCAGGACACTGAATTAGCTTGACCTCTTTTTTGTTTCTCCTTCCAAATTCTAAGAAAAAAGAAGTCACCCTTGATAGGCCAAAGGGAAGGAATTTGTGATAGTGTTCATTTAAGTGGTTATCAGGTATTGGGTGACTCAAAATGGGTTTTATCATCATGTTAGATGAAAATTGATGAAAGTGATCATTGATACATAAAATTCATTTCATTTTAATGGTATTAATATCAAACTTGAGTGCCTTACATAAGTCCACTCTCTAGCTAATGAGAGGATGGATGCCTAAGGGGTTATGCTTCTAGTCAATGATTGTACATTGATCTTAAAAAAAATTCTTCAGCATCAGCACTTTGACTTTTAAAATGCCACAACCATTTATTAGTGGCATCAGAGTCATGATGACCTATACTAGGCTTATATACTATGACTAGTTCCTCTCTCACACAAGGTGGGGCATGAGGAAAAGGCAAGAGCTCTCCCTTTGGTGCTGGCTTCCAAACAAGTTCTCTGAGGAAAGAGTGAGAAAACAGTGTTATGTGAGTGAGGTAGAAGCCTGAGCACAAACACCCCTAGCTGAGTGTCTGAAGGACTTCTCAGATGCCAACTGGATAGAAATGGCTTGTGCCACTGGTCATTGTCAGCCTCAAGTCATGAGACTGTAGAATTTGGCAACAGAGGTGTATATAGGCAAAATTGCAAGCATCCTACAGAATAGAATTTCTAGATTAATGTGATATTTTAAATTAACATTTTAAGAATTGACTAATTTAATTAGAAGAAAATTAATCTGCTCATACATAAGATAGGAATAAACAACTTCCTTCCACTGAAATGGTCTTAAAAGATTTAGCTATGAGAGCTAACAAGATGGTTTAGCCAGTAAAGGTACTTGCCTGAGTTCAATCACTAGATCCCACTATGGAAGGAAAGATGTTTTCTGATGCCTACATGCATGCCTATACTCATACATGCACATCATACACATACTAATAATAAATAATCTTTATAGTTTATTTTTTTTAGAATTTCATACACGAATACTATATTCACATCATTTCTACCCCTCCCTTTCCCCCTACAACTCCTCCCATATCTCTCCTCACTCCCTCTCAATTTTGTGACCTCCTCTTCTTTAATTATTACTGTTACAAATATATAATGCACACACACACACATATATGTATACAACCTACTGGGTTTGTTTAGTGCTGTTCATATATACATGTGTTTAGGGCTTACCACTTGGGATTGGATAACCTATCAGGGAGCTAGTCGTTCCTGGAGAAAATTGATTCTCCCTCTTATCAGCCACTGATTGCCTATAGCTCTTCATGTAGAGGTGGATCTTGTGAAATTTTCCCCATCCACACTGACAAAGATAACACTACACCTAAGGCTCAGGGAACACTGCAGAAGGAGAGGGCAGAAAGATTGTAAGAGCCAGAGGATCAAAATACCTGCTGCTAGATAGTATCTTCTAGACATGACAGGGGAGTTGCATCCATGAAATAACAATATGGTTGCCTCAAAAGACCTGCATAATGGCAATACCAGTTAAATTATTTTTGAAGTATGAGCCAAATAAATAAAATTAAGGACTAAAGAGATAGCTCAGTGATTAAGAGCACTTGCCACTCTTGCAGAGGACCTAAGTTCAGTTCACAGCACCCACATGGGATAGCTCACAACTACCTGTAACTCCAGTTCCAGGGAATCTGACTCCCCCTCTGACTGTGTGGGCACAGTGCTGGACGCACATGGTACACTTACATAAATACAAGGAAAACACTCATAAGCATTAAATAAATCTTTAAAAAAAATAATAAATCTTTATGGAGACACCTGACATGGGTGTTGAGATCTGAACTCCAGTTCTCATGATAAGCAGCAAGTACTCTTAACCACTGAGCCATCTCTCCAACCTCCAACCCCCAAAAAAAAAAAAAATCTTAAAAATTATGAAGAAAAACTACAATCAGGAAACACTGTGCTTTGGAAATTACATTCAGTTGCTAGTCACCTATTTGAAATAAAGTTGGGAGACTTCGGAGAAGTTTCAGTACAAATACAAACATTTAGAATCAAGAAATAGTTGACAAGAAGGCTAAAGGAAACCCAACTGTGTTAGGTCTATAATTTTGTTTGTAAATAAATACCTCATGTATTAGCCTGCCCTTTCCATTAAAATGAGGTCTGAAATAGCAAGCAGGGGACTTTGAGCAGAATGTTTTGAATATTTGCTTTTTATTTAATGGTTTGATTGGAGACTCAAAAATAAGAAACTTGTCAAACGATTCTCACATTCAGTTGGAAAAATGATCATGCAGGGATAGGCAGGAGTCAAAACTAGTAAAAGAAAGGGGCTAGAGACATGGTAGTTAAGAACACTGGCTGCTCATGTAGAGGACCCAGGTTCAGTTCCCAGCACCCACATGGCAGCAACAATTGTCCATAACTCCAGTTCCAGGTAATCTGACACCCTCTTTTGGCCTCCATAGACATTGCACACATATGGTGCACTTACATTGCATATAGGCAAAACATTCATTTGCAAAATAAAATAAATAATAAAATAAAATATAGTAAATAAAACTAGTAAAAGAAACAATGAGAGCATTGAAGTGGTACACTAGAAAATAGTACAAAGAATGAAGTCATGGTAGAACTAAGGGGGAAAAGACATGTAGGAAAAGTAGCAAAATTGCATGTGTAAATCCTACTTCTTAAGGGATTACATTAAATGTAAGTTGATTAAACTCTCCAACTAAAAGGAAAATTAGAAGAATGGATGGGGAGTTGAAACAGAGTCTCCCTGTATCCCCATCTGCCTGCCTCTGCCTCCCAAGTGCTGGGATTAAAGATGTGCACCACCACGCCTGGCTAAAGAATGAATTTTTTTAAAATATCATCCAGCTATATACCATATACAAGAGACATATTTTAAATTTTTTGTTATTTTTATTTTATGTGTCTGAGTGTATTGCCTGCATGTATGTAAGTGCGCTTGTGTCATGCAATGCCCATAGAGGTTAGAAGAGGGTGTCAAATTGGGGAGAACAAATTCCAGAGTAGTTGACCACACTGCACATGCATGCTCACACACAATAATAGTAAATTTTAAAAAATGTTAGGGGCTGGAGAGATGGCTCAGCAGTTAAGAACACTGGCTGTTCTTGCAGAAGACCCAGGTTCAAATCCCAGCACCCACATGGCAGCTAACAACTGTCCGTAACTCCAGTTCCAGGGGATCCGACCTCTTCTGTCCTCTGTGGGCATTGCATGACACGGGGTGCACTTACATACATGCAGGCAATACATGCATACACATAAAAAATAAAAATAATAAATAAAATATAAAAAAAATTTAAGCACAAAGAAACAAAAAGTAGATAAATTGGACACCAACAAAATTAAAAGCCTGTTTTTATCAAAGGACACTATCAAAAAATAAAAAGATAATCCACAAAATGAGAAGATAATGCCAAAATCATATATCTAATAAAAGCATAATATTCAGTATAAAGAATTTTTGTGTAAATTTTTTAAAGTTCATACATGTATACAATGTAGCTTGGTCATATCCATCCTCCACTCCCTCCAATTCTCCCTAGTCCCCCTCAACATTTCTCCCTCCCAACTCCATGTCTCTTTTTTTATATATAACCCACTAAGTCCAGTTAGTCTGCCCATGTGCACATGTATATGGGGTCATCCACTGGGGTGTGTGGACAAAGAACTTTTATAACTTAATAAGGCACATAATCCAATTTAAAACTTGGCAAAGGATTTGAATAAACATTTCTCTAAAAGGAGATGTACAAATTACTAATAAGCACAAGAGAAGGACGTTAAACATTTTTATTCATTTGAGAAGTACAAATCAAAACCACAAATATTGAGCCGGGTGTGGTGGCATATGCCTTTAATCCCAGCACTCGGGAGGCAGAGACAGGCGGATCTCTGTGCATTCAAGGCCAGCCTGGTCTACATAATGAGTTCCAGGACAGCTGGGGCTACAGGGAGACCTGTCTCAAAAAGACCAAAATAAAAAAACAACCCACAAATACTACTTCCTAGCTTCTAGAATAGCCAGCATAAGAGAAACAGAAAGAAAATGGTAAGTGTTGGAAAGGATGTGCAGAAATTGGGACCCACATATGTTGATGGTAGGAATGTAAAATAAGCAGTCACTATTGAAGCAGTTTTGAATCTCTTCAAAATGTTAAAACATAGTTACCACATGAGCCAGCAATTCCATTCCTAGGTACATGCCCAGGAGAATTGAAACTGTTCTCACAGAACTTCTGCATGAAATGTTTCTGATATTACTCACAATAACCAAAATGTGGGGGGGTGGATCCAAACATGGATCATCTGATAAACAGAGAAGTAAAATATGGCATATTTGTCTGATGGAATATCATACATTTATAAAAATTAATCGGTCCTTGGACAGGATTCCTGTGTTAAACTTCAGCCATCCAGGGCTCAGGGACCATTGCAGAAGAGGGGGTGGAAAGATTGTAAGAGCCAGGGGAGGAAGTGCATGACCATAAGGAAACAGTCTTACGAGCTCCTGAGACCTTGCTCATATGAACTTACAGCAATGGTGACAGCATGCACAAGATACATGCAAACTCAATCAGACAAAAACTAGCATAGAATTGGGGAAATGGGCAGGAGGCGACAACTTTAGTGAGGAACTGTTGGCAGCTGATCACTGCTGGATGAGGGAGAGTTGATCTCCTTTAAGGGAGTGATGCTAGACAGGCTGAACATGCTCCAGTGGATGAACTTACACCAAGGGACATTTGGATACACAAACTTGACTCAATAGGCCTTAACATGACAAAATGCATGAAATCCTGTGGGCAGGATATGAGGAGTGCAGGCAGAAAGGGGGGCCAAGTATGATTAAGGTATATTTTATGAAATCCACAAAAATTCAGTAAAAAATAAATTTAGAAATTAATGAAGAGCCAGGCATGATGGTGCATGCCAGTAGTGCCAGCACTTAGGAGGCTGAGGCAGGAGGCTCACAAGTTCAAAGCAAACTTAGGTTACAGATTGAGTCTAAAAACCTTGTCCAGACACAAAAAAAGAGAAGTAAAAGGCCAGGCATGGTGGCTCATACCTTTAGTCCCAGCACTCGAGAAGGAGAAGCAGGCAGATCTCTGTGAATTCAAGGCCAGCCTGGTCTATATAGTGAGTTCCAGGCCAGCTGGGGTTACAGGGAGACCCTGACTCAAAAAAAGATTTTAAAAATTTTATTTTTATGGTATGAGTGTATTACCTGCATGTATATAAGTGCACCCATGTCATGCAGTGCTTGTGGAGGTCAGAAGAGGGTGTTGGGTGCTGGGAATTGAACCCAGGACCTCTGCAAGAGTAACCAGTACTCTTAACCACTGAGCCATATCTCTAACCCCAACATTTATAGTCTTGAATATATTTATACTTAGTGAAAGAAACCAGACAGAAAAGATCACATATGCTTAAATTTATGTGGAATGTCAAGATAGAAAATAAGTTAGCAGTTGCTGGTGGTTAGGAGAAAGGATGAATGGATAATTGTTGGTAACTGCTTTTTGAGGTTTATCTTTGGTAGGGATGAAATGTTCTGGAATTAAATAGTGGTGATGATTATATAATCCTGTGACTATACAAAAAATAAAACCCTACTGAGTTTTGTAGTTAAAGTTGTTGAATTTCATGTGTATAAATTATGTTCAATTTTTCATAGTTTACCTGACAAAAAAAGAATAGTCATGAAATATTAAAAGGAATAAGTGGGATTTCCCTGTAGAAGCTACTATCACCAGAGCAGGGTCACAACAGCACAGGCAGAGCTAGGAAACTCAGTGGGACCAAGTAAGAGTTCAGAAATAAGTGGCTCTCTGTGGGAATGATACATGATAAAATTGGCTGAGAAGCAGACTATTAAATAGTGTTTAGTCACTGAAGCCACTTGAGGAAGATGCTAGAACCTGAGAAAATAAAGCTGTGTTCTTTGAGCTAGGCCTTTTAACTGTACTGAGACAGAAAGTGTAGCAAGGACTATTATTCAGCTCATTTTTAACATTCCTTTATTCTCTAGCCAACAAAAGTCCAGAATATATTTCAGTTCTTATGCTAGCCCTCAACAAAGGGCATTTTATTAAATGTCCAAAGAAAGCTGAATTTCCAGCCTTACTTGGTTGTGCGGTTAGCGGTCAGCTCACAACAGTCTTCACTGGGTACCTCTGTGTCACTGTCATAGGGAGACACTCTGATGTCTGTCATCTCCCCAAAGTAGAGGTACAGCATTCATAGTTCACTTAGGTCACTATATGTTAAAGTGAACTTGGTGGTACAGGTCTGTAATTCCAGCCGCTCAGGAGGCTTAGGCAGAAGGATTGTAAGTTCAAGTTCTGCCTAACCTAGAGTGAGTTCAAGGCCAGCCTAGGCAATGTAGTTAAACCCTGTCTCAAAATAAAATGTTAGAAAATGACTAGAGATGTGGTTCAGTGGCATAGACGTTCTCTATCATGTGCAAGGCCCTAGGTTCTACCTCCAGTACTAACAAAACTAGTAATAACAATAATAGAAATAATAATAACCAAAGTCTATTAACTTCACCTATTTCCCATGAGAAAGAAAAACAAACATTGCATGATGATATCAGAAGATATTTGGCTAGCTGCAGTGGTACACACATGTAATCCCAGCTCTCAGGAGTCTGAGACAGGATTGCCACAAGTTATAGGCCAGCTTGGGCTATAGCAAGTTCAAGGCCAGCCTAGGCTACATTGAGAGACCCTGTCTAAAAAATTTTTTGAATAATAATGAAAAAATAGATTTTCCTCCAAAGGTCCGATAGTAGGAAATTTAGTACACATAAAATAAATTCCAGTTGAAGTAAACCATAAAGTAAATATGAGTAAAAAAATTTTTCTTAGTGGGGCATGGTTGTGCATGCTTTTAATAGCCGCACTGAGGAGGCAGAGGCAGAAGGAGCCCTGTGAACTCAAGGCCAGCTTGTCTCTGTATTGAGTTCCAAGACAGCTGGGACTATAGGGAGACATGGTCTTAATTTTTTTTTTTTTTTTCCTTAATCCTACTTTGGAGAGAAAATGGAGGATTTTGTTGTGATTGTTTTTCTTTTTCTGGGTGTTGGGAATTAAACTTAGGGTTTCATGTATGCAAGGCAAGTGCTCTACCATGGAGCTATATCCTCTAGGACTTTACTCTCTGTTTTGAGACAGGGTCTCACTATGTTTCCCAATCTGGTCATGAGGCCTTAAACTTGTCTATAACCCAAGCAGGCCTTGAGCATATGATCCTCCTGCCTCAACCTCCAGGGTAGCTGGGATTATAGGCCTCTGGCGATAGGCTTGGCTCCGTTGATTATTTTTACTGTTTTCACTGAGCATGAAAAGCAAGTTACAAAAATGCATGTGTGATGTTTGATGGTTTTTAACATAGGTATTTAATAAAATTAAAATTGGCCTATGCCACCTAGCTCTAAAATGCTGTGAGTTCTGAAGTTTAAATTTGTGAACCTGTGGATGGCAGAAATATCCTTGAGCCACATTTTTTACCCTAACTTTGTGGTCTACTTATGTTATATAGAAACTTGATTGAGGTCAGCATCAGGCATAAATTTATGAAATAAATTTATTTCTTAATGAATTTTTTCAGATGCTTTTGACAAAGAGTACAAGATGGCATATGATCGTCTCACACCCAGTCAAGTCAAGAGCACACACAACTGTGATAGGCCACCAAGTACAGGGGTGATGGAGTGCCGGAAAACCTTTGGAGAGCCGTATCTTTAAGATGTGTGTGTGTGTGTGTGTGTGTGTGTGTGTGTGTGTGTGTGTGTGTATTCAATACATATTGTATAGTCAGTGTACAAAATAATACTTTAGTCTCCAAACTCTTTTCTTCACTTTTTGAGAATGCATTTGTAAATGGTTTGGAAAATTCAGGTAGCTTATGTACAGAATGCTTTCACAAGAGAACAGTGACAAATAGGGAGAAAGCCACTTTACTTCCCATTTATTTCTTCTTTAACTCCCCTGTGATAAGAAGTATTTTTGTGATGAGACAGTCTCTTAAAAGAATTGGTTGCTACAAAAGCAGAAAACTATTTTATGATTTCTCTTGGAAGAGACAGATGGGAAAATCATGTATGGAACCTAAGCAGAAATGTAAGATCAAAGTATCGCCTGTCTTCATGGACTATTCAAATGTTTTGACCATGAAGTTGTATTATACATATTTTAAATTGTTTATAGTAAGTTGATATTTTTTTAATTTTTAAATTTAATATAGCAAACTTAAAAGGAATTTAAACTTATGAAACAAGAATTTATTTTCTTTGTCTGCTGCTATTTGAAGTAATCAGTACAGCTGCAGATCTCTGTATGTATATCTACCTATATTTTTTTTAATTACTTGAGAGAATGAATTTGAACATGTCAGTGCTAGTGTGAGTATCCTCCTGGGACTGCATGCTAGGACCCTTCAGCCTGACTTATGAGAGTGAGTGGCCGAAGGGCAGGGCACACACCTAGTGTACGGAGCACAAGGAAGGGTTCCTATGCCATGGTCTTCAGTCTCCTCTACCATAGGTAGATGCTACAGTACCCAGGGAAAATAGTTCACAATCCAAATATCAATTTAAATTTTAGTATTCTATATGAAGACTTACATAGGGAAATATGATTGACAACTCTTCCAAATTTCACCCAAAATATTGAGTATGATACAAAATTGTACTATAAAATATGTATCTGAAATATGATTTAATGGGATATTCTGTTAATACTATATATATGTGTGTGTGTATATATATATATATTCAAAGTATTTTTTAAAAGTAGAAAAATAGTGGCCCTCTGAAAGTATAGCCAGAAAGAATTTCCCATATTGAGGGGCTTAAGCTTCTTTAACAAGCTTCAGAATCTGAAGTTTATGGAATCTAAAATGTAGAATTATCCATATCATAATCAGACAATAAATTCACTGTTTAAACACCATGAATATTAAATTGACTTTTAAGTGTATTTTAGTCATGTTATTTTTAAGATCACTTACTTTGAGTAACTTCTGATAAAGAAAAAACATCCTTTGGCCTTTAGAATTATGAATTTTAAATATGTATATGTACATTTGCACAGAGTGTCATTCATGAAGGAAGCCTAGCCATTTTAATAAGAAGGGGAAAGATGGATGGTCACAAATTTGGTGTATAAAGCCAGTAGAGTCCATGCTGCTTGGCCTGGAAGTATCTTAGAGTCCCAAAACTTGCCAGTTCTGCCACAGAAGAGCTCTTTTCAGTCATGCCATTAGTGAGCAGCACCAAGCCAAACATTTCACAGCTTTCCTACTCTGGCAAATTGTGGAGAGTTTAAAATGTGAATCTTCAGTTCAGTTAGTTTGAAGCTGAACTTGCTTACTTGAAAACTCTGGTGCTATGGACGTGTATACCTGCCTCTCCTTTGTAAATAGCACTCCAGCTTCACTCTTTACTGCTCAGATCATAGCGTCACAGTCTCTAAGTCACTGAACAGTGAGAGGAACATTTGAGTGAGGAGGCTCTTGGCATTGGTGGCAAACATCCCATCAAACAGGACTCTGGGGTTCTCTTCCAGGTTTCTTTATTGTTGTTTTTCTTCCCTTATAAAAATAGCTTACACTGTTATTTATGTTTTCTGTAATATGAACAATATGTAGAAACCATAGTTTGTTGATTTCAAATGTCTGACAAAAATCAGTGAGGCACAACCCATTCTCTATGCTTCAAATTCATTTGAAAAACTGAATGCAGTTCTTATCTCTTGCTCCTACCCTAAGTTTTGTTTCCTGTCTCTGAATAAAGTTGTATTTCTCTTGCTTTTAATCACCAGGAAATATTATTGCAAAAAGACAGTCTTTTAAAATAATACCTAAAACATGAGTCGAACTTGGTTGGTCCTGCGCCAAAGAAAATTACAAGCTTTTTTTTTTTTCAATTTTTTTCTCTGTTGACTATATATTTTAGAAAATTATGGCCAACAATGTAGGCAAGAGATGTCCTTTTACTAATTATCTAGCTCTTAGTTCCTCACGCTTAGCTTTGCTTACATTTGAATTGTTGAAAATAAGCCATGCTCTGCTCCTGTAGTTTGTTTGCTCCTTTCTCATCAGGTGTGAATGTTATTTCTTTGTATCTAATAACATACTATAGACACTTCTCCCTCCTGTTGCCGGATAGCAAATTGTGCAGCTAGTCATCTTCTAACTTTGTCTTTTTCTCTGATTTTCTGGGTTTTGTTTGTTTTTCTTTTAAACCCCTAAAACTATCAGGTTTATTTTTTTATTATAAGGTTTTCTAGTGTGTCTTCCCATTTTTGTATATAGAGAAATGACCCTGGAAAATGTTGGTTCAACATTTTAGGCAATAAACAACACTTATTTTTACTTTATGCTGATAATTACTATTATTTATTGGTGCAATTCACAAGTATTAGTCAGTTCTATATATAACTTGCATTATGCTTTTAAATACTCTGTGGAAAGAAAATGTTTAGAAATGTACAATAGTTGAATTTATCT